ATAATTCTTACAGAATAATCAGACTTATCATGGAGAAAAAATAAGATCTGAAAGAAACAGCTTGGAGACTTTAGAAGTGTGGCTGTGATCCTGGGCTGGAGGGTGACTGCCAAGCTCCTGGAGTGGGTGGGTGGGTGGGTGGGTGGGCTCTGCTGTAAAGCTGAAGGACCATGGCACAGCAGAGGTCATGACCTCTGACCTTCAGACCACACTGCCCATCTGACTGCAGCCCAGGCCAGGCCTTCACCAGTTGTGTTAGAGCAGGGAGAGCATGTGAATTAGAGCGACAGGTGAGGAGGGTGAGGGGTGCTGCTGGGACCCCGTGCATGTGTGGGGCCTGTGCGCCCCCTCCCCGCACCGTGCAGAGGTTATCCAGGGCTGGGGGAATTAGCAGGAAGAGTGGCCTTAGACGTGATTGAAAGCCTGAGGTTGAATGTTAAATGGGTGACGAAGGTCTAAGTGCCCAGAGGTTTGGAAGCATGTGTGTGGTTACAGGTAGAATTCTTACTGGTGGTTCTATTAACATGCAAGTGGCCTTGGGCTAATGTCACATTTCTTTGTCACAACAGCTTGTAAATTAGCGGCCACTGTCACCACAGTAGTGCTGGTGAGGACCCTGACTGGCCTGGGGCACTCGGGCACGAAAGCGCCTCCAGGGTCAGGCAGCTGGACATGCTGGCCTTCACACAGAGTCACATCGTGCAGAGCCCAGGCTGCTCAGTCAACACCACCCTGCACAGTGGAGCTGGGCCATCCAGGGCACAGGCCAAAGAAGGCAGGTCTGGGCTGGGCTGTCTAGGGCACCGGCCGGGGAAGGCGGGTCTTGGCTGGAATATTCTCATATTCTGTTTATTCCTAATAATGTTCAACATGAAATGCCAATTTCTCCCAGATTGATGTTTTTACTTTTGATGATTAGAACTCTTATTTCAACCATTTCAATAAGCACTAAGACCCAGGGCGAGCACAAAGCGGGTATTTCCATCACCTCCAGAGAGTAGCATAGTTTATGTACTTTTAACATTATTATTTTGGTCAAATGTTTAAGATTTATTTTTAATAACAATCATGTCCATGGAATCATGGCATGAACAGAATCCACATGTTCCAAATGCCATTATAAATCAACCCCGTCACCAGGAGCAACACCATTGCTGGCTAAGGAGACAGTTTCCTGATATCAGTTTCTCTGTGGCCTCGAAGATGGTTTATGTGCACCTTTTGCAGAGCCCGAGTGCCCAGAAAACAGGAGACACACTCCTTTCAATTTTAAGGCTCTGCAGTAATCCTCTTTGTCATGAGCTCTGACCTCCATGTCCACAGGGCATCATGCTGGCCCTGTGTCTGCCGTGCTGACCTCTGACTGGGCAGCGTCCACCACAGAGCTGCTCCCACCCTTTGAGGCTGCACAGGGGACAGCTGTGTCCCCCTCTTCCGGGCAGCCCCCGAGCCCTAATTTGTCTTCAGGGTCATTCTTCACTTTTCTTGAAGGAGAAAACACATTCACAGCCACACTGCCCCATTTCCCAGCCTGTAGAATCCCAGGAGTCTGACAACCTTGCCTTCTTTTTTTCATCTCTGTGCCCGTTGGTCCAATTTATCAGTGTCTCTGCTGGTGTAATCCTGTCTTCTTCTGAGATGAATGAGGATTATCCAAATCTTCAAGTTCTGATTCCTTCACCTCCAGTTTATGTCTCTCCTCTTGCATTTTACTGTTGGAAGCAAGGAGACAGCACCTCACATGATGGAAGCAGGTGCGTGGCCTTTCTGGCTGGCAAACTCCACGATGCCTAGAGTGGAAGACTCTTCTCACTGCCCCTCCATCCCAGAGCTCATGATGGGAGGCTACCATGATAGCAGAGGGCTGGTTACAGACACCTTCACAGCAAAGTGCATGTGTATGTGCATGTGTGTATGTTCAGAAAGTGGCATAGGATTGATTGCCTCCCAATGACACAGAAGTGCAAGCCTCTAAGGCCCTTCTCTCTCCAGAGACAGGAGTTTCCCTGTGATATAGACGGGATGCTGCCTGGGAAGGAGCTCCAGCAATGTGTGAGGAGTGAACTCGCCAACCTCCATCCACCTGCAGGGTGATTGAGCCAAGAGATCACAGCTTATAGGCTGCCCACACGCAGATTCCCCACTGCCTGTCCCAGAATTCTGATCAAGACTGAACTTTTCATCACAGCCTCCAACAGCTTCTGGATTGACATTCTTCCTGGAAGGTAGGGCTGTTTTTCTCATGTGTGGATAAAGATAAAGGAAGTTTATTTTAAAAGTCCAGGCCATCCAGAGCTGGTTCCCTTTAGCAGCGAACAGGATGAGGTTTTCATGTGTCTCAACATCCACTATATTTTTAATCATGGAAAATTGACTCTCTCCTTCTCTTTGCAGACATAAATCCCCTCATTGGCATCTTGGTTCACAGAAATGTGAAAAGAGAGTTTCAGTATGGACTCACCTGGGAAAATGTGGGTTATTCTTGGAGCAGAAATACCCCAGGACAAAATCGTGGTGATGTAGTGTTGCATTGGGCCAAGTGGGCCCCCCACGCACTGTGTTTCTTGTAGACCCAGTAGCCCCAAGCTTTCCCTCTTCACAGTTTGGGGGAGGAAACCTAGCAGCTAAATCAAAGTCAATTCTGTACCACACAATTCAGGGTTTTACTTTACCACCAAACCACGTGGTCACAGGGACATATGGTAAACACAGTGACTACTTCCTTTGTTTCAATTAGTTTCCTTCCTTTGTTTCAATTCTGGAAGGAGGGTTGAACTCACCCAAAACACAGCAGTTTCACTCAACCAGAGTTCAAACTGCAGCTGATGATTGCCATGAGTACTGAGGAAAATAAACAACTTATTCTCCTTAAGTGGATTATATGACGATTGCCTAAGATCAGCTATAATGGCCGAGGGCTCTTAGAAATACAGTTATATTTTCTGGTCAGGTTATTGTTTTTTTTTTTT